CTTTCTGTGCTGAGGCAATGGCTGCGGCTTGTGCTTTAACCTTTGCCAAAGAAATAGGGTTTAATGATATAGCTTGGGAAGAAGATGCCCTTACTATTATGAGGAAAATGCAAAGGATGAATCATGACCTTTCACCCATTGGAACAGTAACTGAAGAAGCCAAAATCATAGCTGCAACATTTAACACATGTTGGTTAAAACATGTAGGCAAATCTAGGAGTACATTGACACACAGACTAGCAAAATATGCTTTGGAGACTCTATAGCCATGTATTGGGTCGAAAATTGTCCTGAATTTTTACAACAATTTGTATTGAAAGATTCTGATTATTCTTAAGGATGAATGGAAATCTTATTTATTAAAAAAAAAAATTTGTTCTTTCACTTGTAAAAGATTGTCAGTGGCATCTATGAATTCCAAAAGATTTGAACTCAATGAATAGATAAATTGATTGAATAAACAGTGCAATTTGAAGAATTACAACTTTTTATTATGAGCTCTATAAATAGAGATTTCACAATTTATTTCAAAAGACCTTTTGAACAATGTATAAAAAAAATGATTTTGTCACTCATTAAGAAGTGCTTAGTGATGTAAATTTATTGGTGCGAATTGAAGTCAAATAAGGACTTATCATATCCATTTAACTAATTCAATTTTCCCCGATTTATACCATAAATGATAGGAGAAATAAGTTTGAAAAAAAAAAAAAAAAACATTTGTAACATAACTTAAAGTCACAAGTCTTATTTTCTAATGTCATGACTTCTCATTTTACGCCAATCAAAATCATAAAAACAGCATTTTATGGACAAATTCTTTTTTTTTTTGTCAAAAATATGAACTAATCGAATGTAAAATTTAACTTAATTAATTTATATAATCACTTTAAAAAGTGATTTCCAGCAAATTTGAAAATCAAATTCCAATAGTTATAACCTCTTTCTTATTTTCTATTCTCAAGCTGCAATCACTTATGTATAAATAAATAAAAAAAATCTAAACAGCTTGAACACATTAAAAATTTATAGAATTACAAACATGTTACTATAAGTAGACTTGTTCATGAGATTGGATCTTGGATAAAAATTTTTTTATTTCATTTCAGTCCAACTCAAATTATTATTTTATTAATTACAGGTGTTTTTTATTTAAATATTTTTAAATATTAATATTAAAATATTTTTTTAATATTAAATAATATTATTTTAAATAATAAACTGCTCTAATCAAACCCGAATGGACGGGTTGGACCAAGCCGTGACATGGTCTTGCACCATCCATGTCTCTTTCCCTTCGTTTCTTTTTCTTATTCATCATGTATTAAAATAGATCATTTTCACAATATAATTATTCATTTGTTTCCTTGTTTTTTTTTTTTCAAAGAATACTTCATGACTAGATAAAAACTTGTATGTTTCTTTTAACAAAAATTCAGATTTTGCATTTAAATCTTTAATTATAAGTGATGTATTAATACATAGATTGAAATAAATAATATTCTTACATTGTATAACCTAGACCCTAAATTTAAAAGATTTACATAGATATATATTTTTAGAATAAATATTTTCATAAATCTCCTCTTCCGAAAACGAAACAAAAAAAAATACAAAAAAACCCACTAATCTATGAATTGACCTAAAGGCTTTTCTGGACAACAACTTAATTGTAATTTATTACGAGTTCAACTTCAAAAGTAACGAGGAACAACCATGTATTTGATTTTGTTAACATCTCACGTTTAGCAAATTTATTGAAAATTATATGAATATGCAATATCATTAATTAATAGGAAGAAAATTTGTCAATTTTTTGAATTGACAATCCTCATCCTACCATATTTTTTGTTACTTTTCTTTTGGTACATATTATTAGTGCTTTTGTTCAACTTGAATTACAAACTATAATAAGATACTCATTACCAATGGCAAGTTTGCTAATTTAAAAAGATCATGTGCTTAAGGTTAAATGGATTTGGATTTCAGTTATATCAATAGTTCTTAAGTCATTTTAATATGAAAGTTAAATTTGAAGGTTAATTCAGTTGATTCAAATAATCATTTTAAAAAATGATATTTAGTAAGTTTTAAAAGATAATATCTAATAAATTTGATATTCAAATATTAAACCATTTTTTTATTTTTAAATTACAGCTTTTGTTATGCCAAAACTTTAAATAATATGAAAGTTGTAGTAATCTTATTTGTATGCTAATCATTCTGGTCTTTGTTTTTTATAACAAAAATGAAATAAAAAGAAAAAGAAATAAGAAAGAAAAGCTATATAGCTATTACATTATCCACATGTGATGTGAGCAAGTACACGAGATCGCAAAGTGAGGTTAAAGTTTGGGTGTTCTAAGGGAAAACAAGAGTGGTGCTATTTGCATTTCAAAAAATTTTTAATACACCAAAAAAATATTAACTTTTAATAAAATTATTTAAATACTTATTAATTATTTTTTTTTATCTTTCATGTCCTTTTTTTCCTTCTCAGTAAGTTATTAAATATCTATTTTTAAAAACTTTTTCAATGCATCAAAAATTTATTTTCAAAAACTTCTTCAATGTACTAGAAAGTTATTTTGGGAAACTTTTTCACTATACCAAAAAATGCATTTTTGAAAAGCATTACAATTATTTGGAAATATATTTTTGGAAGTAATTTTGAGGTCAGTTTCTTTGTTGTATTAGATACGAGATGATAGATTTTAATCTCTTGATCAATGTTTGGTACGAGAATATCAAATATCTCTTTAATGATTTTTCTGATGTATGGGTTATTTAAATTTAATAGTGAAAACCTCTAATCTTTCAACTGTACTATCCATTTAATAATATTTGCAACATTTTTTCAATTCTAATAAACATGCATCTTAGAGAAATCGCAAATTGTGAAGAAACACTTGTGGAAATTGGTTATTGTACCATGAGCGATGAAACAATTATGTTCCATCACATATGATACAACAACCAACTTGCATGAATACCTTTTTACACTTAGCGATTCCTCTTAAATGCACGTTTGTCAAAATTATAAAAATATTACAAATATTATTAAATAGATAGTACTTGGTGGCTAAAAGATTAAAGATTCTTATTACCGAATTTACTAGCCTGCTAATGACATTGTTAAGATTAATATTCATTACAGTGCCAAGTTATTGTGTATTAGAAATATAATTTTGGAAGTTTTTTAAAACTTCTAAAAATGAATGTTCAGAAACCATTGAGAAATTGTGGAAATACAATTTTGATAATTTTTAAAAGCTTCCAAAAATAAGGGATTTCGGAAGTTCTTGGACAATTCCAAACATCCATATTTGAAAACCTTCAATAATTTTTAAAAATTTATTTTCAAAATATTTGAATCGTACCTCAAATTGCATTTCAAAACTTAAAATCCTGAATCTTATAAAACTAAACATAAAATCAAATGGAAAAAATTAAAAAAAAAACAAACGATTTACCTTTGATTATAAGATATCTAACGTTAAATAGGTGATTGAGGCTTGATTTGGGGATTAGTCCTTTAAGGGTTTGAGGGTTTTTGGTTGAAGAAGATAAGGTGTAAGAAAATGTGGTGTTTGGGTTTTTAGTAAATTTGTGTTTTGGGTTTAGGGTGTATTGAGTAAAAAATTACTGTTAATAATAATGGGGTGTGAAGAGAAAGAAGTTGGGGTGAAAATAGCACCACTTAGAAAACAAAATTGCAAGCAAGTATACATGAGTTTGTATGTACTTCAAAGTTGTTAATATTGTACTAGATAACATTTTGGTTTTTTTTAAAAAAAGGATATATACTAGTATTAGTTATTTTGATACATTATTTCAAATTTTTTAGTTTAGTATAAATATATTTATAAATATGCATGAACTTGTATATTATAATACTATTAATAATTTACAAAATAAATATGCAATATCTTTAAAAATCAAATAAATAAATTTAAAATTATAAAAAATAATATCATAAATTTTTTATAATATTTTTTAAATATTTAATCTAATCACATGATATTTAAATAAATATTTTTTATGTAAATATTATGATAAAAACAAAGAGATAAAAAAATTAACCAAAGGTTTATAATTGTTAAATTTTATAAAAAGAGCATAATTACTTTCTCAACAAAAATGGAAATACTTATAAACTTTAAGTTGAAAAAATAAAATATAATAAAAAGTTATAATAAAAAATTGAAAAATTATTTTATTAATTAATTTTAAGTTAAAAATAATTAACTAACAAAAAAATAAATTATAAATTATAAAATATATTTTACATTCACATTTCAATCAAAATAAATTAATCCATCAAAATTCATCAAAATTAATTAAAATTTAATAAAAATAATCGATATTATTTGATATTAAATTTAGTATAAAAAATAATATTTAAATATATAATGTAAATAAAATAAATAAAATGTACGGACCAATGCAAACGAAAACCATAACAAAATTAACAATTATGATCTATTTGCTATTATGAGTGTAATCAAACCGAGTCGAGTCGATATAGTGAGAAGCTCGAGCTTGAACTCGACTAACAACTCGCGGCTTGATACTTGACTTGAACTCGATCGAGTTTAATTTTTTAAGCTTGAGCTCGATTTGTGATCGAATTTGAATTACTCAAACTCGCTCAATTAAACTCGATTAATATGTAAAAATAAGTTTCGATTCATATATTTGATAAGAGTTTGATTATTTATACTTGAGTTCGAACTTGAATTCGAAATATTTTATTAATTAAAATAATAAAAATATATTTAAATATAAAAATTCGATTAAGTTCGAGAACTATTCGAACCGGATATAAAAATATTTAAATTTGACTCGATCAATAAATCAAATTACTCAAATTCAAACTCAACTTAATAATAATCGAACTAAATTTAAATTTTTTTCGATTCGAACCTAAATAATTTACGAATACTAATATATTATTTACACCCTGACTTGCTACCGAAGCTGTGTCTCAGCTGCCGATATCAATTTTCTTACACACGCCAAAAGAACACACAGATTGCAGCATGCACACTGCACACAAAGAATAGAGAGCTAACGCCAATCCCAAAGCCAATCAATGAATACATCCTTAAGCTTTCTCTCTTTCTTTTTTATCTCTTATCCATGCTGTCGAGAATGAAATAACCTTACTCTCTTAAAATCTGATTATTTCTTGATCTGGGTTTTAACACTCTGTTTCTCCAGATCATAGGTTTTTAAAGTTTGAAACTTTCATTTTTTTTTTTGTTATTCCAAGTTTCTAACTTTCTCAAATAACTAGCACTGGAAAGGAAAAAGAAATCTGGGTTTGCTTGGTTTTTAACAGATTCAAAGTAATGAGTTTCTTGTTAGAGATGCACATTGACTTTGGTTCATTTCAGGTTGGTTCCGCTGCTGCCTCTGTCTTATCTATCTTTATATAGCTTTTTGGTTTTGGAATATTGAATATCTATCTTTAACCTATTTCCCTTCTGTTGAGTTCATCTATCATGAAATTTAACTGCTTTTTGTGGAATCTTGATTGAATGACCTAGTAAAGATTGTGATTTATTTTCAAAGTTTAGGTTTTTCTTTTTGATATTCTGGAATCAGTTTTACGTTTCTTCTGTTTTCTTTTCTTTTTTTTTAGTATATTGGTATTGTATTTGCTTCTAAGTGTGAGTTCATGTAAATTTCAAAATACTTTATCATTTTAAGGCTATTCAACTTTTTCCCGGTTCACGCTTTGATTGGATATCTGCACTTGTAAATTCACTTTATCCCCTCATTGGATGTGGTGGAAATGTTGGAAAAAATGGTCTATTTCAATTCTCAGTCCTGGTGTTCTACAACTTGAAATTTAAAGGCAAAAATACTTCTCTCAGGTCTAATAGAATTGTAAACTTCACTCAATCTGGTTCACTGGCCATAGAAATTGGTAACTCGAGCTTTTATTTATTTTTTGTAACCTCTTTTCACATGTCAATTAAACCTAGATTATATATCCTCAGATGTCCTATCTGCATCTTTTAAAACCCTTCTTTTGATGTATTCTGAAAATTGAACCATCCTTCTAATTACTTTAATTGTAATGATTGGCTAGCCGCGCAAGTATTTGAGAATTGAGAGTCTATAGTGTTCATTGACATATGCTAGAGAAAATTTTTGGCACCATAATGCTTAATGTGTGCTTATCCTCATCAAGTTTCTCAATTGAACTAGAAAGTCTTTATCTATAAATCGTCCATGTCAGCTGGCAACTTTTTTTATTGTTTTTTATAATTCCATTATCAATGAGTCCTTTTTATCATCTCGGTCTGAATCTCCTTTGCTGTTTGAAATGCCATAATATTGCCCTCTTTTAAAATATTGCGCTGCATGTGTATTGAGTTTGATTTTGATCTTTGTTAATATCTAATGAAATCTGTTATTGTTTCTTTAACCAAACTCTTGTATGTGGATTTATGGTTCGGCAGATTGCAACTTTATTTGTATGAGAGCTGTTCATTAGTTGGGTTTGAGATTATGGGTAGATGTAGAGGAAAGGGAAAGAGGATGACTGTTAGCAACCATGAGGATGCTGGAAGTGGTGAAGAAGAGAAAATTCCTGCACATAAGAGAAGAGGAAGGGCACAAAAACCATTAAAAGATGAAATTGGTGAAGAAGTTGAAAAAATAGAAAAGGATGATGGTGAGAGTGGAAAAGCTGGTATTACAAGCAAAGAGAAAATGAGTCCCTCTGCTGCAGAGAATGGGAAAAAGAGAAAATGCAACTCACAGGTAAAAGAGAAGCCTGATTCAGTCAAAGAAGAGAATGGCATTGGCACCAGATCAAGCACTGATGACTCATTAAAATCTAATGGTTTTCGGCAAAATGGGAGTAGAAGGAAAAGTAAGCCACGTCGGGCAGCTGAAACAGGTGTTGAATGCAAGTGAGATTGCGGTACTTATTGCTATAGGTCTCTTCTTTTTCACTTTGCCATATGCATTTTGAGATAGGAAGTGAGGCCTAGTAAATCTCTAGTCAATATTGCATTTAGGTAGTGTTTCTTTTGATTTTTGACGATTACCTATCTTTAATTCATTTTCCTTTTTTTTTTTTCTTTTGCTTTTGGAGTTTTGAAACTGATTGTGCTGGTTGTAATTTTTGAAAATGCTATTATAATCTATATCATCACTGGATTCTTGTAATATATCATCTGGATTATAATGCCATGCTCTTCTTTTCACTTCATTTTCACAATTATTTGGTGGCTGCCATAATACCAGCTCGGTACATACTATCTAGTGCAACTAATGGATGACTATTAAATCTTATTTTCCCTCCACCCTCAAAATTTGTCTAATGATGTAAGAATTTAGTTTATTACTATTTAAATTTTGTTTAGGTGCTTTACATAGATAGGTTTTAAAAATAATTATGATAAATTTCTGGTTAAACCATTTTCTTATCTAGTGTGCTAGGCCTATGTAGCTTCCCCTGTATTCCCTTAAATGCTTCGTTTTGCAGTCAAACTTTCTTCACATGATTATCATTTGTAATTTGCTTCCATGACATTCAACCATTTTTCTCACAGTCTTCTCACTTTTTGGACACAGTTTCTAAAGTTTCCCCACTTCTGGTTAGAGGGGAACTGGGTAAATCACGTTTTGTCTATAGAAAGTGTCAGATTCTCAAATATGTAGGTGCTAAACTGGTAGTCTAAGGCATGATAATTTAATTGGAACGTATAAAAACAGTTCATGTGCTTACTGTGTTTTAATGAATTTTGGCTGCATTTGATTCTGGAAGGATTGTGAGGACTTTGAGTTCTGTCTGAAAGGTAGGGTCTTCAAGTATCTTGAGGCCAATGCTTTTATGCCACCATGGGCTGACACTAGAGGGAGACCTCAAATGTTTGTGGATGCTTTTTTTTATTGTGGTTTTCGTTGATTCATTGCTCTTAGGATTGTAGATTTTCCACTGAGTTAGAGCATTGTTTTGATAATTTTCTCTGAAATTCACTAATTTTCTTCAAATCACTGATCTTTTAGCTTTGAAGTTTTTTTTCTTTTAAATCATATTATTTTTACTTTTTATCGCAATTTTGCTTGTTTTGTATAACATTTGAAGTGCTTAGAAGATCTAAAAGCAAAGGCTTTTCATAAATAAGGGTTGATCGAAATATCTGTGCTGCCAAAGGTCCTGAAGATCGCTATTAGAGTTATTTCTTGGAGCTAGACCATTTGACAAGAGATGAAATGACAAACTTCACTATAGGCATGAAAGCCTTCTAGAATTTAGACGTTGTTTTGAATATAATGGCATGGCATACAATATCAGCAATTGCACCTGCACAGCGCATACTGTGCAAAGTTACATAAGATATGTACACATACAAATTGATCATCTTTAATCAGTTAGGCTTGCACCTTTGCTTATTGGAAGATGAGAAGTTCATTGCTGCCTGACATGTGCTTTCAATATAATGTTAACATTGTCATGGAAACTGCTTGTAAGCTTAAGCATTGAGATCAAGCAAGGTATATGACATTCTATATGTAAGGAACTTATTTTGCTTAAGCATGCTGATCAAAGAAATCTAATTTAGCATGACCATTGACAACACTGGTTTTAAATCTACTTTGGTTGTTCGAGTGTTTGAGGGATTCGGTGGGATGGCAAGCTGATGTTCAAGCATGCTTAATGCTTTGACATGTTATGGCAGATCTTATGCAACTAAAATCATTTTTACGTTTTATTGCATTCAAAAGCAATGTTTTCTGCCAAATCGTCACGAGTGAAGTTAGCCGGCACTCTTCAACTCTGTGCACTTGGCCTGTGAAACAAAGTACTTTTCTGTCAAAAAACCGATATGTTTAATCTTTAAAACAGGTTGTTCATTGATTTCTTAACACAGATCACACGTCTACCAATGAACTGTTAGCTTAATGATATTGGAATCGATATCAGAGTTGTACGTTACTAGTTCAAATTGCCGTCGTAGCTTCAAAAAAAATGCAGACTACACATCGCATATCTTACCGCGTTGTAGTTAAATTTGATAGCTGTCAACTTGACTTTAAACATAAACCATCAAGTCTTTTTCAACTTTTCTAGGTAAGTTTTAATTTGATAGCTATGATAGCATGTCAGTATTAAATATGATGTTAAAATGATTTAGCTGTCACCCTTTAATGCATGAAAGGCATGATGACATGCCATGCCTTTGGTGATGTCTGCCATAGACATAATGCAACATGTTGGACCCATTCATACCCAACTACATTGAATAAATGCTTATAAGTGGAAAATTATACTACAAAATTTGAGCCAAGACAGTCCTCACCTCTTTCTCCAAATTTTAACTAAACAGACAAGTTATCAGTAATTATTGTTAGTGTTCTTAATAATAATAATAAAAAAGTAAATGAAACAACCGGTGAAAAGAAAATGAAAGATCCAGGTCGAGGAAGGAAGGAAAGAAAGAAAAAAGGGGTCTTACCTTATTTGTTTAAAGTAGCATTCCAAAGCATGTTTGGTTCCACAATGCATAGTAATTCAGGGGCCTATTTCCACTCCCCTTAAACAAGAATGAATGACTATTCTTTGATTGTAGTAAGTTTAGGATAATTTTGCCCTCAAACATTTTTTCTTTTCATTTCCATTCTTATCTCTTTTTTATTATTTTTTTTAATTCTTTTTTTCCACAAGTTCTACCAGTGTTCTTTCTAGAAAACTACCCATTCAAGTATGAAGATGAATTGCTATGGCCAAGGGCCCATTTGGATTCAACGTGGCATCAGCACAATGGATTTCTTCAGCATTTTGATGAAATCGCACCCTTCAAACTTTTATGGATATCACAAAGTGCGGTGCAGTTGGATTTGTTGATTGTACTTGACTGGTAATTTTGCACTGGAGATTAAGGGTCCAGTGAGCCATTGTACTGGACCCTAGACTATAATACCTTCATTACGTAAGTTTTAATTCCTAAAATATCCCCTAACCTAAAACTTTTTTTTTTGTTTTTAATTTTTTTATATTTATATTTATATCTTATATTTCATATTTACATTATTATTCTTTAAAAAACTAAAATTTATAATTGTTATAACTATTATTTCTTTACATATTTAAATTTTAATATCTCAAAACCTAATTGTTATTTTGATATGTGTCAATATTTTTATTAAATAAAATTTTCAATAATTTAAATACATTAAAATATACATAAAATATTTTATTAATAGACTTTTGGATTAATATAAACATTAATTATTTTTTATATGAATAAATCTATTATTATCATATAAGAAATAATTATAATTTTAATATAAAATTATCATATAAAAATATTTTATTAATTTTTATAGTTTATTTATTTCATAAATTAATATAATATTTTTAATGATAATTTTCTCTTTTGATGATATTTCATTTTATTGTCATCACTACGTTTGAATCTAAACAAATATTTTACTGGTCACTACTAATTTTAATTTTATTATTAAAATAATTAATCTTATATTTACTGATAATTTCAATATCACCAAAACTAATCTCATTACTCATCCAAGTGAACCTTAAAGTATCATTGGATCATTAAGAAAAACAATCAACTTGGTCATAGATGACCAGATTGGATAGTTGATAGCATCGATCCAACATTTTAATGGCTTGACTTGGATTGTAGGATGGCTAGATCGGGTTGCCTCTATGAATTCCATGGAATGATTATCCAAAAATCGCCATTGGCGATTGCATTCTCATACGTGGTGTTGGAAAAGAAAAAAGAAAAAAGAGAGTTGTATACTTTTATTTAATTTCTACAATAAATTTAAAGAAAAATATATATATATTTAAAATTTTAATGATAAGGTAATTTAGATGATACTATTTTGTAAGAAATTAAAAATTTATACTTATTTCTTTAACAAAAAATTTAGTAAAAGGAAGAGAACTTAGAATTTTGATGACATAGGTTTGAGTCCCATCATGTTTGGGTTTGATTATCTAATTATATTCTGATTTGTTAGTTGATTATTTAGTGATTTACTACCAGAAAAATGGGTTTTATTGACAAAATTTTTCATCTATAATAGGTTAAATTTCGTTAGTACGATGAAAATTTTCATTGGTAGTAAACATATCAACAACAGTATTCTGTTGATAAATTTAAAATTTCATCAGTAATTACCGTCACAAAATTTCATCGATAATTTTTCTTCGATAATTATGATGGCAATTCCTCTATAAATTCTATCGATAATCCATCAGCATTTCATCAATAATTTGTATGTAATCCTTTGATAATTGGTTGATAATCTATCACTAAAAGCTATTTTCATTGGTAAAAATGTCAGTATTGTATCAGTGTTCCGTTAATATTCCATTGGTGTTCTATAAGTATTCCATCAATATTCCGTAGGCAATTTATGATTTCTATTGCAAGAATTTCGTTGATGAAATCCGTTGATAAAATCAAATTTCATTGATAATTTGATTAATTCCATCTTATTATTTAAGAAACCATGAAATTAAAAATTAAACATTTGTAATTATTAAGTCTATTATTGATCTATTACTTATTACAATATCAAATCCACATCATAAAAATTATATCCACACAAATTCTAAAACAATCCAAATTATAAAAGTTAAAATCCATAAAATCCATAACACAAGTCCTAAAAAGCATGTCATTATGTTGCTATATCTCCTAATTCATCTACATTGCCGTCATTAGGTTTAGAAGATTGTGTTGGCACAAATTGTCTAAAACCCATTAGTTGCGTCATCTAATCCATGAAATATCTAAACTTAGCCTTTAGCTCAGTCCTCAACTCATCAATTTGTTATTGTATCTAAGGTTGAAGAGGAATAGATGACAGACCATAAATTGAGTGAGATGTTGTTGCTACAGTATTAGACTGATTTGACTAAAGTAGCTGCTTAGATTTATCTGCAATCCAAAGCCATATATATGAGTGCGCATAGCTTCAACCCTTCCAATAGCTTCAGTCCATACCTGTGGATCAAAATATGGATGATTGGAAGAGTCTTTATCATATTTTTGAGATAATGCAAAAGCATAATTATCTTACAAAAAGTTTAAAACAATTATCATTCCATTTTACCTGAATACGTAATAGTTTTCACCTTTCACAAAGCCATTGCATCTCAATATGCACAAAA